CATCCCGCCTACCAAGCGCTCCGCAAAAGGCTAACATCAGCTCAGAACGGAGGAATAGGTCGAGCCGAGAGAGATAAGCAAGGCCGACAGCCGGCAGCCGCGAGCAAACAGGGTGGAAACGCTCACGAGTCACAAAAACGACTTGACGCAGCTCAAGACGACGCGAGCAATTCAAACAGCCACGAAAATCGATCGGTGCAATCGATTGACGCATGGAAATTAAGCAAGGTGAATGGTCGTTCACATTCATCGGACGCACACAGGAATACAGACACCTTGCTCCGACGATGGAAGCGAGCGAGCTTTTGAAACGTCAGCCGGAATACACGTTGGTCTCAGGAGTCGTCTCCTCTTCTTCTTCCTCTTCCGGGGATAATGTAAGGAACATCATTGTTATATATAATGTATATTATATAATTATCGAGTTCATCATCTCACAAAGGTAAGGAAGAAGAAGAGTGGGCGGGTTCATGGACCAAATTATATTTGAACTGACTCAAGACCACCAGACGCAGCTACCGCAAAACTCTGACGATGGAAGCGAGAAGGTTTTCGAAACGTCAGTTCAAATATGATTTGGTCCATGAACTCACCCCTCTTCTTCTTCCTTACCTTTGAGAGATGATAAACGCGATATCATATCTGGACCCCCGAATCTTTCGGCATATTATATAACTATATATTTATTCATGTACAAGTCACCGTTCCTGTGCGCGACCTGTTGTTGGGAAAACGATGATTTCACCACAGGCATAGAACGCCGCAGCGCATTCTACCTTCCCTATCACTAAGCGAAAGTCAGATCTCTGTTTTAAATGCCCAAGTTTTCGTGGTTCCAGTGAAGAAAGATGGATTAAAAAACCACAATACATAATTAGTCAAATGGCCTTACTGATGTTTCGATAAAAAAATGATAATAATCAAGAGCAAACTATGAAAACTTAATTAGTACACGGAATACGTACCCTCACTTAGTTGGGCTGTATGGGTCTGTCAGCCACCAAATCCCATCCCAATCTCGGTGAGGAGGAAGGGCGCGCGATAGATGCACTGCAAGTCTGTAGGGAACAAGATCACTTTGTCAGAGGGAAAGAGAGTTTGGAGAGAGTGAGGTAGATGCATCGCAAGTCACATCTGTGTGCCATTCTGCTGTGAAGCACATGGTGGCCCATGTGGAAGTAGACGGTAAAACCGACCATGGACATCGTCGGAATCCATACTCAAACTGCTGGGTGCCCTACAGCGATGGTTAAGACAGCGACATCCAATAATTATAATAACGGAACGACAATCATGACCTTTTGGACGAAGGCTCCCAGCCGCTATCAAAGGCAAACTGGATGGACATTTACATAACATATACCGTTCATATGCAGAAGGAAGCAGTAGTCAACTACGCATTGGCCAAACCTATCGATAAAACTTGTACATACTACTATGCTACTCACTATTTTATAGCAACATATCTTATGTTGGATATATTATGCATACAAGAAACGACTGAATGCTCCCACGGGCAAAATGACCATACCTGCAGCGAAAATTTGTACATATATATATGTTACTCACTATTTCATAGTAACATAATTTATATTGGATATTTTATGTATACTGTTTTCAATAGGGTCTTCAAATGCATTGCCTACTACCCTAAATATAC